CTTTGGAGACCAGGCTGGCCTCGAACTCACAGAGATCCGCCTGCCTCTGCCTCCCGAGTGCTGGGATTAAAGGCGTGCGCCACCACCGCCCGGCTGGGAATATCCTTTAATAGTCATATGATTTATATGAAAATCTTCTGTTAAAACAATTTTCGACCAAATTTGAAGCAAGCTTTAATTAATACTGCCCAGAAGGATGGGCTCTGACCAGGACCATTCTATGGTTCCCAGGAAATGATGATGAGCTACATTTTGTAGATGCTTAAAAAGGCAATCCATAAGACCACTGTATTTCCCAGCAGGTCCAATCAGGGGCAAACATATATCCTAATGCACTTCCTGCTTGCGTACCTCCAACCTACATCCAATCTGGGCAAGTATACATCCTGATGTATTTCCTGCCTATGTACCACTCACCTATGATCGAGCACATCCCACCTGTATGTGATCAAGCATGTCCGGTGCAGTTGAATCAAACAAACTTGTTTAGGGGAGTGAAAACATGTGGTTTGTTATTTCCCATAAATAACAGCATTTCAGGAAGTTATCTTGTCCTTGGTAAGTGGAGCTTACAGGTTAACTTTGGCCCTCACACTTTATGTGATGGTTTAATAACTGCTAGGAAGCTCCTTGCCGTAAACTGCCCTGCGTATGGCTACACACACAAACAGAGCATTCTAGTTTATAGCACCATCTTAAGTAGGTTGAATTAGCATGTGTCCATTTCCTGAAAGTAATTAGACCAGAAAAATATACAAAATCACTTTGGTAAGTAGAACTACAACCAAATTAGGGTTTACCTTGATCACTTACATGACTAATGAAAGCAATAGGCCTTAACTCTAATTTTGTTTACAAGACATAATAGTATATGAATTTTGCTTGTATACAGGGGCTCATTTTATTTATTATTATGAGGTACGTTTCCATTATCCCAAATAACTAAGCTTGTCATAAAAAATACTGCAGGTGCTCCTGTGTGGTAGAAATGCTTTTTGTGTTTGTAACCACACTCTGTGTTATACTTGTATTTAAAAATATGTAATAAAAGCTGGAGAGTTGGCTCAGGAGTTAAGAGTACTTGTTGCTTTTGCAGAGAACCCAGGTTCCATTTCCGGTACCCACGCGGTGGCTCTCAATGGTATGTAACACTAGTCCTAGGGGATCCATTGCCCTCTTCGGACCCCCTCAAGCACCAGATACACTTGCAACAATCTTTTAAGAGTGATTCAAGAAATTTCTATTTGTAGAATAGAAATTATTGATGAAAGACACTTTTACGACAGTCTTTCACACAAGACAGTATACATTAAAGAAATCTGCATTGAAAAGATGTGTGTTAAGAGGTGAGGTCATTTAGTGTTGCAGGGCTGGACCAAACTGTGTCGCGGCCTAAATCTGCTTGATGTTCCGTGATCTCAAAATTGGGACTTATTCTCAACCATACTAGGAAGATAGTGAGGGCAGAGGCCTCATTTGTATTATAGTCTTCTTTAGTGTGCACCACAAGGTCTGTCTCTAGACCAGGTTAACGCTCTTCCTAAGCGCAGGAAGTCAAGAACCTCTGGGTTCAAGTCACAAAGAGCCCCGATGAACCCCTGAGGCTAGCTCCATTCCAAGCACATCCCATCTCAGGCACAACCAGCTTCACGAGGTTCCAGAGCCTTGCTCGGCTTGGGGACTCCTGGAACCAGATCTGCAGGGTGTCCTGTTCAAGTTTCTCCACAAAGCGCCCGCGTTTGAACTGGGTGGTGGCTGTAAAATCTCAGAGTGGCAGTCACTCTGGTGGTGGCTGCAAGAACACAATGGTCAGGGTTTCAGGGATGACCCCGGGCCAGAAAAAGCCCTCTGTCCAGTGTCTGGAGAGGTGATCCGACAAGAGGGTACCTCTTTTTTTTTTTTTTTTTTTTTTTGGTTTTTCGAGACAGGGTTTCTCTGCGTAGCTTTGCGCCTTTCCTGGAGCTCACTTGGTAGCCCAGGCTGGCCTCGAACTCACGGAGATCCGCCTGGCTCTGCCTCCCGAGTGCTGGGATTAAAGGCGTGCGCCACCACCGCCCGGCCGAGGGTACCTCTTAAAGCGTTGGGTGCCTTGGACTCCTGAGATCTTGGCTCCTGATACAACAGGGACACTGGCTAGACATACCTTGGCTGTGCCAGACAGAGGGCGTGTACTCGCGCAGCAGACCCCGCCCACTACGCAGCGTTGGCCCCTCCACCCCCCACAGACCCGCCCACCTACGGAGCATAGCTCTCCCCACAGACGCCGCCCACCTCCCAAAGCCGCGAGCGCGCACCACAGGCCCCGCCCACCTCCCTTAACAGGTCTGTCCCACAGACCCCGCCCACCTCGCAAGCGCCGTCTTCGCGTGCGCCACAAGCCCCGCCCACCTCCCCATAGCCGCGTGCGCGCGCCCCAGGCTCCGCCCACCTCCCTGAGCAAACCTTATTCTCCCCGCAGACCGCGCCCACTTCCCTGAGCCCCGTTAGTTCACGACTTAAGAGACGGGGTGTCTACCTCCCTGCGCGCGACTTGAGTGCGTCCCCGCGTCCCCTACCTGAGGCGCCAGCGCCCGCAGGGCCAGCGCCTTCCTCAGGCCGCTTCGGAGCGCGAGCATGGCCCGTCTGGAGCGCGCAGAAGGACCGCCGCCAGCGCTTGGACTCGCGCTCTCCCCACTTCCTGGCGCGCGCGCCCGCTCGCTTAGGCCCGCGCTGGACTGGGCGGGGCTTGGCGGCGCAGCCCCGCCCCTCCCCTCTGTAGACACTTGGCTTGGCTTTTGTGCTACTTAGGTTCTGGTTCCTGGGGTGGTTGCTGAGAGCTGAAGGCTGAGCTTAGTGCTATTCTGCGTCCTGAGCCACCCGCCCCCCTCTCCCCCCCTCGTGGGGCGCTAACACTTCAAAATGTAGGGCGTAGCATGGGTGCTTTAAAATCTGGTCGTGGGAATGACCTCGTGGCAACCACCATCGAGCCTTCATCTTTATGGCGATGTACTCAGCATCCCAGTGTGCCTCCCATCCCCCCGCCCCCGCCCGCCCCAAGCATGGCCTGGTAGACTCCAAATAAAGATGGGTTAATTTTCCTGGAGCCCAGAACAGTGAGCCCGCGGGCCTGAAATCACACGTGGAGACTAAAAGTAAGTAATTTTATGTGACAAAGCAGACCCCTGATGACCTCTGATTTTTGGCCCTCAGAAAAACTTCATTTACCATTTGTATTTTTCTAGTGCGTGTTTTTGTTCTTCGTTGAGCATATTGGAGGGTTTTCCAACTATATTCACTTGGAAGATTAGGATTTAGAAACCTCTCATTCTCAGGTACACCGCCTTCATTGGGTCTACAGTTCACATTAAATGGCTAATTGATCCCCAAATCTTGAATAATTTCTCTGATGAAAATAGCCTCTTGGCTACCTTACTAATGTACACTAGGCTACATTATTTACTGGTCATCAGGGGTTAAAAATCTTTTTAGTGTCAAACTTTTGGAAATCTTGTGAGCCTTTAAACCCCTAATGATTTTATGCTTAGCAAATACATATAGCTCTAAAAACAAATTACACTGACTGAATGTCATCAAAATATAAAGGTAAGTTACCGAAAAACATACATGCTTCTTTATATAGGTAGTAAATAACAATCTAAGGTATAAGACAAGCATTTTAAGTAGTGATGAGCATAAAAGGAGTTTTGACACTTGCAACAACTGTAAATATATATGACTTTTATTGATTAAAATATCACAAGTCCTGATAATACTGTGCTTTAGGTTGGGGTCCAGAGAAGTCCCACAAAAGACCACCATCCATGTGTGCAATCAACAAGAGCATTCTTTATTCCAGCATGCTGGGGCCGACCATCCCACACAAATGCAAAATGGCAACCCAGAGAGGAGCTCACAGGCTCCCTTTAAGCATAGCCAATGGGGAGGTCCTAGACCAGTTAGGTCATTTTAGATATGATTGGCTTCAGCACATGGCAATCATATCCGTACATTCTAATTGGCTAGGGCTAGTCAGGGGCTGATTAAGACTACAGCTCTTCCATCTTTGGGCAGGCCTAAACAAGTCCCAAGCTTTGTCCTTATTTGGTTGTCTGCTGACTGTAGCTCAGGCCTGGCCTGCATGTATGGGGCCTCCTTGTCCTTGCTGTTGGGGGTGTTGGACATTGTCCTTTGTGGCCCTTTCAGAAGCTGCTTGTTCAGTCTCAGGAAACTGAGTTGAGGCCTGATCTCTGAGAGGAGACTGAGCAGCCTGTTATGATGTCTGCTCCATCCTTTCACTTTATTCCCTTCTTTCATGACGAAAGGGGATGCAGTTGGTTACAGCTGAGATACAACTTTTACCCGTCCTAGTTACCAGACACTCTGAGTGCTGTCAACAGATTGCTTTGGACTCACACACCACTGCTCTAGAGTGTTAGGTGTCAAAGAAACCTGGAGCAAATGGCTGAGGTGCCTATTAACATGTCACTTCTCATCCCACCCCCACTCCACCCCCTCAACCTCTTCAGCTCCCCCCCCCCCCCCAGCCTCTCTTTCCTATATAAGTTCGTCCATTTGGCCACACGTTCCCTTAGTCCTCCCATTGGTCCTCTCTTCATCTATTTGCCCTCTTCTCCTCTTCCCTCTCCTTTCTCTTCCTCCCTCACTCTCCCCCCTCTTTCTCCCCTCTCCTGGCCCTGTCTATTCTACTGGCCATGTTCAGTCTGGACCCTTCCAGATGCCTTTGGCTGTTCTCTTCCTCATATCTACAATAAAAAACCTTCTCAACCATGCTAAGGAATGGTCATGTCCTCATCTTCATTTCAGAGCACATACCTGCTGAATTGCTGACCCTGTGGTGTGCATAAAATGCCCCAGGATGCACCCATTGAGTTGCTGACCTCTAAGTTATGTGTATATTAATCTTAACTAAGTACTATCAAAATATTTTATATATTGATACTTTTCTACCAGTGTGTAAGGCTTTTCTGACCATGTTTTTATTATTTTTCATCTAGTTAAGATGTAACAAATTTGACTTTCGTGAAAGTACATTTGTACACCTCAAATAAGTAGGTGTAAGTTTCAGGATGGTTGACCTATGATACTGGCAAGCAGGACAATGTCCTTGGTGGCATTCCTGCTTGATTTTGTTCAAAGGTTAGACTTGTGCAACTGTGCAGTTGGAAGCAAGTGTGGTGGATCTTCTGCTAGCCCAGTCGGTAGGAGGCCAGGTACATGTAGGACTCTGGATGCTTACCTTCTGGATCCATATTCCTTGGAGAAGTTTCTCTTTTCAGAACTATATTCTAAGGCCACTAGATGGTGACATAGTTTTACTTTTCTTTCTTTAGGCATAGCCCCACCTCCTGCCCCCATCCTCCCATTGGGGATTGAACCCAGGGTTTCTAGGATGTCAGGCAAGTGTACAATAAACTGAGTTGTATTTCCAGCTCCTATTTTTTTTTTTTTTTGAGTTCTTGTAAGTTAAACTGTAAGTATTTAGAGTGGAATTAATTGTGTGTGTGTGTGTGTGTGTGTGTGTGTGTGTGTGTGTTTATGGTGTGTAATGCTTGTTTAATTTCAGTAAAGGCAAATTACTATCACGGTGTTTATGAGTTGCTTTATTGTATTTAAAAGAAGCTTTTTTTTGTAACAGAAGTAAAAGTCAGTTTCATTCAATGCCCCTTAACAAGTTTATGAATTGCTATATTACTGAGGGGTGTGTAGTAAAGATAAAAATCAATTTTCATTAATAAGTGTCCTGCTTATATCACCAAAGTATCTTTTGTGTGTTGAACATTGAATGAAGTGCTGTGTGGAAGGAAACAGACTAAGGCTCTAGTCTTCAACTGCCAACAGGTGTTCATATTTCTATATCTATTTGCTGATATCTTTATATATTTAATGATAGCATAAGTTTATCATTCCTATTAAAGAATTTTATTACTAAAACACATGAAAATGTGTACTTACTATGTCTTTTTATATATGTTTAAAATACCCCTTTGGCTTTCTTTTGGATTTGGATTAAAAGTGAATATTAGTGCCAGTGACATTTTGAGACCCGTCAGCCATAAATGCAGCAATTGCCCAAGGCTCAGCATGCTGACTCTTTCACACTCTTTTTCCTTTGGGAAAAAGACTTTGGGAAGAATTTTCTACTTTATATTTTTATCATTAAATATAGCTTGTATTGTTTTTTAGTCTATTTAGATTGACTTGGCTTTCACTGATTGTGATTTTATCATACCTTTGGAATGAATTTGTTAGTTTATTTTCAGGATTGTATTGAAGGGTGGAACATTAATGTAATGGGTAATCAAACCAGAGAGGCCTGTTGTAATCTTTTCCATTCTCAGGAGCTAAAGGATGCTGCCTTGGATTTCTCCACATATTCTAAGTTCAGACTTCTCTATGTCTTTTATGAGAGTTGACACAGTATATCAGAACTTTGCAGATTAAACTTTGTGCTGAAAAATGTTCCCAGTAATAGTTCCAGTGTAGCTTTATAGTGCTGCTTCCTAATCTGGACTGTTTTCTTCACATATCAAGACACTTGGTGTAAAGAAAAACAGTTTTTGGTTTTTATCATCCCCTGGAGTTTTCTGAAGCTCCTCCCACTTCACACAACATAGAAACTGAAAAACAGGTGGAAGGCAAAGCTTTAGAGACTTGAGAATAATTCAAATTTCATACTATTTTCCACTGGAAAATTAGTCTGTTGTGTTTGGAATGAGATGTATTGGTTAATACATCTTAGTAGCCTTATGTAGTGTTTTTATGATGTTGTCTTAGGGTTTTTATTGTTGTGAAGAGACACCATGACCATGAAAACTCTTATAAAGAAAACATTTAATTGAGGTGGCTCGCTTAGAGTTTCAGAGGTTCAGTCCATTATCATCTTGGTAGGGAGCATGGCAGTGTGCAGAAGACATGATACTGGAGTAATAGCTGAGAGTCCTACATTTTGCAGGTAACAGGAAGTCAACTGAGATACTGGGTGGTATCCTGAGCATAGGAAACCTCAAAGCCTGTTCCCACAGTGACATCACTTCCTCCAAGAAGGCCACACCCACTCCAACAAAACCACACCTCCTAATAGTGCCACTCCCTATGAGATTATGGGATTATGAGGGCCAGTTTTATTCAAACTACCTCAGATGTCTTTTTTCCCCCTTCTGATTTTTCAAGACAGGGTTCGCCCTGGAACTCTCTTTGTATACCAGGCTGGCCTTGAACTTAGAGTTTCACCTATTTCTCCTAGGATTGAAGGTGTGAACCCCACCACCAGACTTTATGATGACTTCTTAAATGAGAGCTTTATTTGATACCACCTTTGTCTCTATTTAGCTACCCTTCTATGTGTTGTTTTTAATTCTCAAGTCACATACTATATCCTTATGTTTTTCTCTAAGATAATGCCAATGATTCATAGTTCTTAGACAATGGATTGTCCCATTCTAATGTGCCTGATACTGTGTAATTACTGAATGTATCATATGGATTAGACATGAAGTATCTCCTGAAGGCTGTGGTGCTAAAGGCCTGGTGTGATGAATAGTTTGTCAGCTTAACACCAACTGGAGTTGTAGGGAAAAGGGGCTGGCTAAAGAAACTCAGTGAGATCAGAGCCATCTCTGCCCCTGGCCAACTGACCAGTGAAACCAACCAATCACAGAGCAGGAAAGTAGCTTACTGGAGTCCAGAACCAGGGAAATAAACACAGCCTGGGTTAGGACCTGAGCCAGAGAAATGAACACTTTATTCCGAAACCCAGGACCAAGGAAACATGCCCTGACTCTGAAACCAGTACCAAAGAAACACTCTTGGTCCCCAAAATCAGAGTCAGTGAAAGAAATGTGCCCTGGCCTTAGAATTAGTGTCAAAAAGCTAAGAAAGGCCAGTGAAAGAAACACAGTTTGGCTCTGAAATCAGGGCCATCTCTGCCCCTAGCCCACAAAACTGACCAATCCCTGGGCAGAAAAAAACTAACCAATCCCTGGTTGACTCCACCCCCAAGAGATCCTATATAAACCAGCCTGCCTGGTCAGTTGTGGGCTGTTCTCTCCACCCTGGTAGAGGCAGGTACTCTCCTGGACTCCTCCTTCCTAAATAAATCTCTTTCTCAAAAGAGTTTTGGGTATGAAGATCT